CTCCGCCTGTGGCAGGAGCCGGCGCTATAGAAGAAACATCTGCTTATGCGGATCTGCTCCCTGCGCCGCCGCCTCGCTTTCCTCAAGCGCTGACTTCGTTGGCACCACTGATTCTCTCCCGCGGCTATTCGAATTCCCCCTTATGCCTTAGCGGCCATGGGAATGGTCACAACTAGGTCTTATTTTCGGGGTAGGTCTTATATTTTAGCAATTCCCAAAAATGGTACTAGGTCTTAATTTCGGGGTAGGACTTATTTTCAGGGAAACAGGGTAGTATGTGTGTAGGATATCACACGGGTATGAAGTTTTATATGGAGCGGTTGCATATACAGTACATGTACAGCGACCGTCGCTGGCCCCCGCTGAAAGAATCCTCCGGCCGCCGGTGCAGTTGCTCCCACCCTCCGCCGCCACTTGAACCGCTACAGATGCGGCTCTGTACTCGGCGGCTGCTCGCTCCTCAAGGCTGACCTCTGGAGGCCCCCGCGGACGGCCCTCTACAGTGCCTGATTAGATCCGGCCAGCCCGGTCAGCCTTGAGGAGCGAAATGCACAGCCAGCTTCCTCGCTACACTAATAGCGTATCTCCTGGTCTCACAGAGCTGCAAAAAAATATACACTAATAAGAACAAACTTAAAACATAATAAAACATATATAAAACAGAAAAGAAAAATGTTTCAGTCAATGTTCCTTAAACTTTCAAAACAATGCCCATATAACCATCCTGTGTTCACTGCTTCCACCTTTAATCAGGATTAATACACTGCTCCCCACCATATGCGTCACTCCAATCATAAACACACTCATCAGATGAGGTGGACCATTAACATAAAATGGTCATAAAACGCTATTAAAATACTTCGATCTCCTTCAATCGCAAACTCAAGTCTCCTATGGGTGTGATATACCTTTTTTCATATCTCAGCTAATGTGTTATTGGTAATTCACTTCTCCATTCCTTTCCACCATAGTCCACAAATTAAGGGGGGAAGTTAAATTAAACATTGATTGCACAGAGTCAAATCATCACAGAGATTCGTTATTTACATATATGTTTATTGCATAGAGATACATCACACATTTGAAAATGAAAAATTATTTTTATACAAATAATTTTTGTAACATGATAGCACCATAGTTTAACAATCTGTTTTCAGTCACGGTTTTTATGTAGAGGTTATTGACACCAATTATTGTTAATAACATTGTATTTTCACAAGTCACTTGCTATTAGCATTGATTGCATTATAGCGACACAGTTGCATGTTAGAAACAGTTTATGTATGTACACTTGTATTCTAATATCCACTAATTGAATTATTTGCGCTGTACAGTATATCCAGTTTAAATACTGTGAGACCAGGAGCTGGGCAGCAGGCACAGGATCAGCGGAGACCAGGAGCTGGGTAGCAGGCACCAGATCAGAGGAGACCAGAAGCTGGGTAGCAGGCACAGGATCAGCGGAGACCAGGAGCGGGGCAGCAGGCACAGGATCATCAGAGACCAGGAGCTGGGCAGCAGGCACAGGATCATCCGGGACCAGGAGCTGGGCAGCAGGCACAGGATCATCTGAGACCAGGAGCTGGGCAGCAGGCACAGTGTCATCCGAGACCAGGAGCTGGGCAGCAGGCACAGGGTCACCTGAGACCAGGAGCTGGGCAGCAGGCACAGGGTCATCCGAGACCAGGAGCTGGACAGCAGGCACAGGACCTGACTCCAACGCCACCTGAGGGTGCTCTGGATCCTGGCAGGTTCCTGACAGCTCCTGGCTGCTGGAGACACCCGCAGGCGAGCACAGGAACTGCAGGACCCGGCTCCAGTGCCACCTCGGGGTGCTCTGGATCCTGACATTGTCTAATGTGTTTAAAAATGTTTCTAGAGATGATCTATCCCCCTCCCAGATGATTATTATATCATCTATAAACCTCTTCCACACTCTTAAATGTTTATACCTGCGATTAAAAATATTTTCTTCCTCCCATTTAGACATTGTGATGTTTGGGGAAGTTAGCACAAATGGTGAGCGCTCAAAGACCAGTCTGAAAGCCACTTTAACATAAAACAGGACAGTCTTTTATTGCTTTCAGAAGAGAAACATAGCTTCTTCAGTAATAACACAAGGTCTGCTTGTATTCCGGCCAACAGAATGTATCACATAATCTCACTGACTCCAGGTTGTCACACATACTCCATGTGTCCCAGTCCCTAGACGTTAGGGTTTTCTTTAATGGAGCCACAGTCCACCTCTCCTGTGACTCTTCCCTTGTGCGTCACAGGCTCTCTAAGTCTCCTCGGCTGTCTTCCAGGTGCCTCCAGCACACACAGCCACCTGGCTCCCCTCTGACTTCTGGGTGGAGGATTGTATGTGTTCTCCAAAAAAATTTATATATTTCAATATTTTATATACTTCCATAGATAATTTTATATATATCTCCAGATACTATATTTTCATTTAATGAATTAATTTAAATGGCATATTGCAGTGATGTAACTCAGTTTCATTTTGGTTCCATTTACGGTTTATTCAGGATCCTTAAGATATGAGGAGACCTCTAGTGGTTGAATTTCAGAATGGTTACTGAGACTTGTTAATCAGAGCCACTATAGCGAGCAGGTAGGAAGTGGTCTCAGTGAGATCTGCCGTCCTTTGAGAAAGTCATGATGATGAAACGCGTTAGGAAGGATACCACTAACACTATTCCAGATCGTACGGGGTAGCGGAAGGAGCACATCATTGATTGCCGGTATGATTTTAAAGTTTTAAACGTGAGTGTACCCATTTTTTATTCAAGTTTTTATTATTGGCTGCACAATGAGAGATTCCATATATTTTTGCTGATTCAGGGATATGATTGGGGACACAGGAGTCCCGATTACCAGGGAGACCAAGAAAGTGTACTAGAGAGGTCGAATACTCGATCATTTGGGACCAGGTTCTTACCTGACAACCAAGCTCTTGTTGACTGTCTTCAACAGTCATATAACTTTGGTGAGTGTTTTACCTTAGGGGTTCGGTTCAGCACGAGAAGAAGATCACCTTGAAGAAGATCACCTTGAAGAAGATCACCTTGGCCGATATATTGGTGGATCCTTAGTTAAAACACTCGGTGATGAGTAAAAAAATGTTTTACACATTACTTTTTTGTTGAATGTTTATTGGCAGGTTTATAATAATAATATTTAGTAGGGAGCTGTGGATATTTAGCGCTGTGGAAAAACCACTTCAAGCAGACAAATGTAGCCAGTCCAAGGAAAAACAGGTCAAAGACACAAATGGGAGCTCGGGGGAAGCATGACTAAGGTAGCTCAGAGGTCCCTTTCCCAGTACCCTCATCACTTCAAACCCCTGTCCCATGTTACCAATAAATATGCCACACAACAGCGGGAGTTTAAATTGCCACAGCAGCCTTTTATTATAAATCATTATAACTAACATTATAAATAACAACAACAACAAACCCATAACCATACTGTATGAACTTGTTTGGTTTCAAGGTCCTTGAAGGCAATCGGACTCTAAACAGACCAGTATCTGCAGGCACCTTTCTTGCAACTGAATGCCCCCAGCCGCCATACACCGCCTCGGGGACGTAACTAAATTGCCCTCAGACCCACGTTGGTCCCTATTAACCGGTCATACGCATCTGACCGTACGACTACCGAAGGACACCCACACCACGGATGGGTCCCCCGAATCCTGACTAACTTCCTGAAGCCCCTCCTGAAGGACCCCTTCATCCAATCCCGTAAGTGACCCATCTATAACCTTTTTCCTTTCTCTCCTTAACCCTTTCCTATCCTCGTTCCCCTTCACAGCCTTGTCATGCAGGCCTTCTGCTCACTCATCTGCTATCTATAGCTCCAGGCGTTACTGGAGTGTTGCTCAAGCACAGCAAGCTGGTCTGAGCAGTATTTAAATAGGGAGAGAGATAGGAGGCTGGACAGGAAGTAGCAGGAAGCAAGGTGTATTAAATATCAGGTGTAGCTGGTGACACCGATAGCTGCTAGCTCTGTGCAACAAGAACCACATGCATGCCTGCAGAACCACAGGTGCCAGCAGACCCACAGCAGCAAAGAGGCAAAAACAAATGCAAGCCTGTAGAAACAAAGGTGGCATGTTCAGCTCAACATATGATGCCTCCTCAATACATTGTTTTTAGATAAATATATCAATATGGTTTTAATTTCTATCAATAAACATTTTGATTTTATGTAGGCAGAGTTTTTTGTGCATGTTCATTTTTGACACCTAAACAGTTCTGCAGGTGGATCTTTTTGCATCCATGTTTCCATCAAGTAAACTGAAAATGGCCTGGACAGAAAGGTGGTTTAATCACCTCTACTCTCAAGTGGTTAAAGGTGATTTAATTTTAAACAATTATGATCAAGCATAAACATCACACAAGAATGTTTGTTTCTATTGAATTTATTTACATCAAAGTCTGTCATAAAAAAATACAATAATTTTCATAAATAAGAAAAATATACAGTTCATAAATATGAATTATTTTAGCATTGTTTGTCTTTTTGTCTTATTTGTTAAGATAAGGCAAACTAATTTATATCATGTATTTTTTGTATATTCTGTTTTAAAATGTTAATGTTTACTGCTGACAATAAATAACAAAATAGATAAATAAATAAGGAAAATATAAACTACAAAAGAGCGATATATACCCTGCACCGCATTACAAATCGCAATAAATATTACAAAATAATATATATAAATACAACACTATTTAATAACTCTTAATGGAGTTACTTTTTTGTTCTCTGACCGAGACTGGGAACTTTATAAAAGTAATTACAGGTAACTGTTTCTGTCACATCTGAACAGAAGTTTGGGTCAACTAAGGAGAATATTCAGATATGTAACAGCATAGATACATGGCTTTGCACTGTACATGGTACATACATGCATGGGTTGGTTCTGAGCTTATTGGGGCGGATAAAGCAGGAAATCTCTGATGTGTGCTTGATCACTTTGTGGCTTCATTTGTACAAACTGGTTTTCAGCCTGAGAGGTACAAATATGCCAGCCGGGGAAAGCAACTGATTCAAAGGTGTTCTTCCTGGTAGAAATGTTTTCTCTTCTATAAAAGAGGAAGGGCATCAGGTCATTGCTCTCTTTTGTCTGGATGTTTGTGACCTCCTATTAAAGAAATACCAAAGAGAAGAGTTTTAGATGAGATTCAGGAAAAAAAAAAAGCCAAATGGACCCACGAAAAACATAATCAATAATAGCTCATGACTCCTCCCCCCATCCTAACATATAATACAGAATGTAGGTAGGCAGTAGGTTTGTGTGACTGTAATTGCAGTATTTAAACCAGTTCAATCAAATCTGACCTACCAAGGCTTCATACACAATTCCTAATTTAGCCATTTTGAGGAAAGTATCCACATACTCATATAGGCCAACCTTAGACTTCGCCCTCACCCAGAATTTACAATTATTCTTTAAAAGACAAATTAACCATTGGTACAATTGTCTTGTAAGGCCTCCACCCCATGAGTGCAGCCCGCCAGGAAAAATATTTACTTTTATCCTTGAAGTAGCTTCCCCACTAGGTCCTCTTCATCATGCACATGCCCGCAACAGGACCATTTATTCCTATCAAGATCTCTTTCCATAGGAATGAATGCAGCCACAGCAAACATGCACAAGATGAAGAAGGCCGGGTTAGGATGCCTTCTAAAGTAAGGCTGTGCGGCACTGGACATGGCCACACACTGAATATTGCTGGATAAAGGCAAGTATTTTTCTAGCTGGAGTGAACCAAAGGTCCAGTTGTCCCATAAGCTTTTAAACTGGCCATACACCTATAGATTTTCTATTAGCCTATGGTCAGATGGAAAAAGTGCAACAGTTTCCTCCATCTACGCTAAACTGTGTGGATGGAGGAATCTCCCGCTGGGCCAAGCTTCAGTAGAAGCTTTAGTAGTTGCTAGTGGACCCAGCTGGCTGTCTAAATACCTGAACAATCTGATGTCGGCATTGTTCAGGTATTTTGACAGCCAGCGATGCCGACTAGCAAGATACTGAAGCTTGGCCCAGTGTGAGATTCCTCCATCCACACAGATTAGCGTAGATGAAGGAATCTGTTGCACTTTTTCCATCTGACCATAGAAAATCTGCAGATCATCTATAGGTCTATGGCCAGCTTTAGACTGCTTAAAGTAACATATAAATGCAGTATAGAAATAATTTAATAATACTGATCAATATATACAACTATGACTATGCTAATATATTCCTATTGCATTTCAGTGGGCTGTACAGTATCTTATTTTATGCTTTTAGCTTTTAACATATTATTATAGTATTGTATAAAGTCTTACAATGAGATCTAAGGGATCCTGAAAGCTTGCATCTTTTATAAGTCAAGTTAGCAAATAAAAGGTAATGCTTAGACTAGTTCTCATGAAAATGCCAAGTATCGGCACCGGTACTCGAAAACTATCGGGGCATCCCTAATTATATATATATATATACACACACATATATACACACACACAGTATATAAACACAGTAAAAACCAGTAAATAATGCTTACCGTTAGTGATAAGATTGGAGTATTTTGGTCTCCCTCTTCGACTACGCAAGATAAATAGAGGTTGCGACCTACAAGACCCAATGTAACTGGCTGTGTCTGTCCATTGAAAGGTGAAGACCTGTAGGCATCCATGTTTATCTTTGCTAAAAAGAAAAAAGAAGACCTATGAAAAATGTGTTCTTTTTCTCTCTTCACAAGATATAAATTTGAATAAAAATTTCACACAGAGACACATAAACCACCAGATATGATCAGTTGTGCTTTACTGTCATGAGATAAACAAGTCTGATCATAAAGAAATCAATTGTAAAGTTTATTCATGTTTTATGTGTTATACTGTATATGTGAATATCATCAGCTTGAGTGTTAAACATAATTTCAGGTACAAAGGTCTGAGGAACAGCTTGCGATATTCGAAGGTATAATGAAGATCAAAGGCGCTAGCTGAGACTTGATTTATTTGTGCCCTTGTGCTTAATAAAAGTGTCCAATTATTATAAGTGGCTCCTCAGACCTTTTCTTCACTTGGAATGCATTCAGCAGCCCCGTCAAGGCTGAAGTTTGTGCACAGTGTGGAGTGGATGATGCAGAAGTATAATTTTCTTTCAAATAGGGATGTCCAGATACCAGTGCCGATACTTGGCATTTTCATGAGCAGCACTACCAGGGTTGCAGCTAGGACCTGGCTCTGGTGCTCCACCTCTGTCCTGAAATCATTAGTCTGTATTGTTTTAGAAAAACTGTCACATGACAATAAACAAAAATGTATCAGTACTTGTATCTGTGAGGACTTGGGCAAGTATCAGTGCTTGTACTTGCAAAAAAATGGTATCGGTCGGTACATCACTTATATATATTTATAAAAACAAAATAATACATTAAAACAGATGTACAAATCCCAGGAGCTCCGTGTGCTCCTTACAAATGACAGCTGCCTCCAAACTTTTGAATTTTTCTCTAGTCTAGTCCTGGAAAATTATCTGTACATGTACTTGTACCGAGTACAGTGCTTGGTATCGGTACATCCCTACTTTCAAATGATAAAAAATCACGCCTGTGTACATGACGGGACTCATGCTTGGTCATTACATGTGTAGGTCATGCTTTCTACTAACAACGACTGCACTTGAATGTGCCTGTCTAAATGTTAAATGTTAGTACCTTTTATATTCACAAACGTGTTATTTGTTTAATTAAACTAGCTAGCTTGTTATGTCCCTTATGTCAGGGAATGAAAGATCAATACATTCCAACACAACAGATTATTGTATACTGTTGAACACCTATCTGCAAATCACAGCTTACCTTCTTTGGTACGGTTGTTCCCTTGTAAAAACAAAGCCACCATGTGGGCACTTCCTTGGTATTCTTGCAGCATCAGACTCTTCTGCCTGCTGTCCCGAATCATGTATACTGTTGTGTTACTGTAGCGGAATTTGGGTGCGGCTGCACACGTCTCCTCTACTTTATTGAAGGAAATGCCATCTAAAGACAGAAAAAAAGAGCGTGTTAGAGATGTGTCTTGTTTAATTAGTTTCTTGCACATTAAACTGACACTAAACTCAGGAATTAAAACTTTGAAATGCATTCAAGTGCCCTAACTATGAACAAAAACGTATCTTATTTGTGTATCACTCGGCTGTAGATCCTCCAATCATCTCTGAATTGGTGCTGACACTGTCCTTCCTTCTGGAGGAGGGCTACTTTTGTTCTCCTTGGTCCCTGTGTGTGTTGTAAAGTAGTCACCACTCCAAGCTCGCTCCTGTGATGGAATACAATCTCACGTTTGGTTTACTACTTAGTATTGAGATTGTATTCCATCATGGGAGAGAGCTTGGAGGTAGGTTATCTGGCTCTTGTTTTTATTGGCCCCAGTATGTGTAATGAATGCATGTGAAAAAGTAACCTTAGATTGTAGACACCTTGAGGGCAGGGACTGATGTGAATGTACGTATGTAAAGTGTTGTATAAATTGTTGGTGTCTCTAAATAGCTGTAATGAATAAACAAATGACTCCTTTAGCAAATCATCCATAACAGCTATGTGTCAGGACATACCTGCCCCATAGGGTGAAGCAGCAAAGCACAGCCATTGTGTTGCACTGCTAAACAGAAGCAGAGCCAGCCTATGTAATGGACAAGTATGTCTGCCTCCATGTGAAAATGAATTTACAAACAATAAACAGAAACAAGTTTTTTAAAATAATTATCACTCATTGATAAAGTCAAATGTATCTGAAAAAAAATCCATGCGTTCCCTATAATCTAAGTAACATAAAGAAGATACTTTTACCGCATGATGTAAATGATATTGTATTGATTTATTTCTAGGTTTATAGGTAGTAGAAGTTGTTGGTATATCTGATTATCTTTAAGTTCTAGATAAACATCCTTTTATTTCAGGTGCTTAGGAACTTACCCTCCACCAAGATGTGATTCAGTAGATCCTGGTCATCGAACATGCACTCTGCTGCGAAACCTTTCCTTCCTGACACCCGTCCAACAATTACTATTAACTTGATTGCTTTCTTTAAGGACGGCGCAGGTCTTCTTGGCTTCATCGTCTCCCGAGTTACACTAGACTTGTAGCCAGACTGAGTAGAAATGGAAGCTTTCCATCCATAATGGTTCACATCGACCTGTACAACACAAAAAAATGCAAATTTAGATTTATTAGGGTAAAAATAGTAAATATTGACTGTTTAGATATAATAAGGAATTAACCGGCATATACGTAATATCATCCCAATTAAACCAGCTTCGTCCCCAAATTACTGCATATATGGTGGGCACACCAAAATTATTTTTTCTAATGAGAGTCTTATCTCATTCTTAAAGCAGAACTGCATGCAAACAGCTAACTACACAGCTACAATACATCGATGTGAACTGCTCCTCCCGCCAAAGTCTATAGATTCTTTTCCCCCATCTTGTGATTTACACATCCCGCCATGCTGGTAGGTGAGAGCACTATATATATTATGTTTAAATCCAAAGTCTGGCTGAACCAAATTTCCATTCCTTTGGCAGGTAGAACAGATCACATATTTGTATTTCAATTGTGTATTTAGATGTCTGCATGCTATTGCAGTTGTATGGATAGTGTAGCAAATAAGCACATATAATCAATGTAAAATGACATTATTTCAACCACAATTTACCTTAATTTCAGAAAAGCACTCTGCATAGAATTCTTCTTCACTAAACAGAAAAAAGAAAAAGAGGTTTGTTTTTTTATTCCACTGTAAGTGAACACGGGCAAAGTATTGTCACAATAGTGCCAATCTGCTTGCAACTGAGTCCATTGGGAGGTCATTTAATTCAGGAACAACTGCCATTGTACTTTCTGTGGAGAGATAATAGGAGAAATAAAGACATGTACACATTGTAATACAGGCATACCCTGCTCCAGTACAAAGAGATGAAGTAACATTTTAAAAACATAGGAAGAAAAATTATTTCTACCTTGTGATGAGGAAAATCAGCAAACTGAGAGAAGTCCTCTGTACGAACAATGTTCTCTGATGCTTTGTGTTTGTGAATGTGGCTTAACACCTCCGTTCAGCTCTTTATATAGGCAATGTAGGCAAGGCTTTGAATTCTTGAGCAATGTAGGATTTTCATATCCGCTCCCTTGCAGAAGAACAGTGCACAGCATTAAATGTGATTGTTGTGTATTGTCCAGCATATCAGGATGTGACGCCTATGCTATGTTTCATCATAATCAGAAGTCTTTCCTCAATTTCGGGGGAATATACTGTCACTACAGGAAAATCTGTAATTTACTAAAGAAGAAGGGAATGTTTACATAACCTAGTGAATAAGGTGATTATTGGGGAATATTGACTACCAATCGTGCAAGCAAAAATCCATTTTTGTTTTAGGAGTCCAAAGTGAACTTTACCATTTTCTTTGAGCTAAGCTCAGTTCAGAGAGTGAAGTGGACATTTGCTTATTGTTAAAGGAGAACTATGAGGTGAGTGTAAATCACTCATCCTTATAGTTCGAGCCAACTTGTGACAATTAAACTGTCACATGTCGGCTCAATAGATCGGGAAGTGAGTGAACACATACCGTCGCTTGCTCACTTCTCGATCGTCTCGCTGCAGAGAGCCGTGACTGTCAGTCACGGCTCCCTGCAGGGATTCTGCCCTCCCCGATCCTCCGATCCTCCAGCGCTGACTGGAGGAACGGACGGGGGAGGGGGCGGGTACAGCTAACTCTGCCTCTAGATAGGCAGAGCCAGCTATCATTCACGCATCTGGGTGGATCTCAACAGTATTGTCGGGATCTGTCACGGCTGCAACACCCTCAGTATACTGCGAGCTGTAGCTCGCGATATACTGGGCTTTGGGTCACGGGAGGACGCTAGTATATGTCCTCCCGTGACCCTTTAGAGAACTATGGGGAAAAAAACTTACCGCATAGTTTTCTTTTAAATGCTGTTGGAATTTCTAATAGCACCAGATAGTACCTGGCTATATACTAAAGCCCCTATGTGTGTATGAATGCGCTTCAATGCTAGATGTACAAATTAATCAAGAAGGCAGTGTTAGTACTTAGATGTTGCAATCGTTCTCTTGCATAGAGCAGCACAAAACGGAGTTGATTCTTTGCTGTACCCTTGTTTGTGTTACACAAACGTATGTATAGTGATTTTATGTGTTTTCTTCCCTAAAAAAACAACCTGTATTTAAACACTTTTTTGCCTTTATGCACTTATTCCTCGCATTGATCTAAGTTATCCCACCTTCGCCTTTGGCAGATATATACATACAGAGATCCAAGGACCGCTGCTTTGCTCTTTGTTGACATACAACACTGCAAGTTTCCCTATCCTCACTGTGTCCATCTTCCAGCCGGAAGACAGCCTGATAGAAGTCTGTGTGGCTGTAATGCACAGGTATGGCCAGCAGAGGGGACCATTGCCATACTGAAATGTAAGCAATAGCGGAACCGTGCTCATCGAATCTCAGTAAATATGGATCTGCGGAGGAGGAGAGTGGGATTGCTTAGGTCAGAGGCCAGGGGGCAAAAAAGGATGAGTGTGCTTTGTTTTTAAGGTGCACTTATGGTTTAAGGAATGCACCAAAGTGGACCAGTGTGAATGGACCCTTCTATTTTGTCTGTGTTTTTTTCGTCTGGAGATCTACTTTTCAAATGATGAGCTCAATGAGATCTACCAACGAAAAAACACCTGCATTCAGGGGCGGGAGGGGGCATGTCGGTGCATTGAAGTCATTGGCACCGCAGCCACGCCCCTCACCCGCAGTGTTATTGCCCGCACCTGAAACGCAGGCACATTAATGCCTGCGTTCAGGTCCAGTGCGATCTGCAAAAATGCTGCAAGCACTATTTTTGCAGATCGCACTGGACCAGAATGCAGGCACTAATGTGCTTGAGTTCCGGGTGCGGGCGATTACACTGTGGGCAGGGAGCAGAATGCAATCTGACCCTGAACGCCGGCTTGCATTCCAGTGCGTTCTAGAGGCGCCCTGTCCTCCCATGGTGCTTGTGTCGCCGATTGTAGCCGACGCTGTACACCGGGAGAAGTGTCCTGCCCCTTTCCGTCTGCGGCGTCTAACACATTCAGCTGGCAGCGACACGAGCATCGTGGGAGCAGAGCCGTAGCTAGCTCCTTTTGCGACGGA